CTATCTATCTATCTATCTATCTATCTATCTATCTATCTATCACCTAGATCTGAGTGAAAAATTTGAGATAGTAACAAGGATTCAAAGCCAGTGCAAAATTTAAATATAATTTATTGTCCAATTAGGGGAAAGAAGTTCTGTATCAGCCTGAGATCTTCTCTATGACAACTGTATAAATTGTTGTTTACCTTCTCATAAACTGATTATTTTAGAACAAATTAAATGATTTGGGAGTGAGAATATGTATATAGAAATAGAAATATGAACATTTTACTGCACTTTCTTATTGTTATTATTTTAAACACTGCTTTTAATTTTTTATTTATTTTAATGATTCTCTGCAAAAAATATGTTTTTTTATACTTTTGTTTAGTAATATTTCCCCTAAATTGTTAAGTTTTCTAATTTAGGGTAACCTCACGTTACAGAAGATTGGGGTTTATTACTTATTGGTTCATCTCCTTAATGAATGCCTCAAATAGTAATTAGGTTTTAAAACAATCTTGATTCAAATGGATGCAGTTTTATTCAAGTCATGTAATCTGGGAAATTCTAGCCAATAGTGAATTTCCTTTTTCCAGTTCTGGGAAAACATTTTTGGAATACAGAAAAGGAGGCACTTGGGATGAATCTAATAGGCTAGAAGGGAATTTGTATTTGACCTGTGCTTTACCATCTGACTTAAGAAATCATAGGGGGATTTGAACATGAAAACCCTCTCAGAGGTAATCTTGCAAGCAGACATTTGGAGAGAATACTAATCACTGCCCATTTTTTGAACCTTACAGTTGCTTCTGTTTTTAAGCAGAAGATCATGTCACAAATAAAAAAGCCATCCTTGCAGTGTTTATACAAACTATTGTGACACCAAAATGATGATGATGAACATCATCATACAAATGCTGTCATTACATTCTTGCATTTTGATATCTGATATATCGTTTCATCATCATTACATACATGTCAATATTTGCTAACCATTTCTTCTGTAGATGTCCATTGCCAACTTCTCTAGATACATAAGTCATAGCTAAAAAAGATTGAGAAGCCATCATTCTATTTATATGACATCTCTCAGGTACATCTGATAAAATCCAAGATTTTTTTATTAGACAATTTTGCTTTTTCTGAATAGGTATTGCTTAGAAGATTTCTTATTTCCTATACTTAGCACTATTGGGAAGATTATAATCCTAGTAAACTATGCCTTGATTTTTATATATTCCCAGAATATAAAAATGAATGGCCTCTAATGTAATACTAAAAATGGAGGTAAATGGGAGGAAGAATTCCTTAGGTAACACCCCCCCTTAAATTTTAAATACTGTTACAATTGATAATGTATTCTGTTTAAGTTTGTGCATATTGTCATTTTTACTTTGAGAATTCAGCTTATGAGGAGTCCTTGGTGCTCTTTGAGGTTGCTTGTTTTCTTGCAGATGTTTCATTACACAAACTAGGTAACATCATCAATGCTAGTCTAGCACCATTATGTTACCTAGTTTGGGTAATGAAACATCTGCAAGAAAGCATACACATTGCAAATTGTTTTCTTTGTAGTAGAAAATATTAAGTCAGAGACTGTTACAAAAGTGAAAATCCTAATGATCAGTAATTTCTACATTTTTCATAATTAATGCTACAAATGCATAATTATTCAGAACACATATGACTTTGAAGCCAATCTCAGATAAATTATTTTTTAAAAAAACAAAATTCTGCAGCCATTGCCATTGTGTACTTCCAAAAGTGCTTTCAGAATCCTGGTGATCTTTCAGAAAGCCTAAATCTGGGAAGCCATTGGAGTGAGGAGCTCATTAAATTGTTTTAAATATAGAGTGCACTCTTTCTTTTCGTTATTATAATTTTATTTATTATTTTATTTTCAATGTCTATCTGCGATGTACTACATTATTGCATTTATATTATTTCGAACTGCTAGGTTGGCAGGAACTGGGGCAAGTAATGGAAGCTCATTCCGTCATGTGGTATTTAGGACTCAAACTGCCAGCCTTCCAGGAAGTTGACAAGCCCAGCATCTTAACTGCTTGGTAACCATGCCCCTATAACTTACTGTATATACTGTTGTTCTGATATGACTTTGATAAATGAGTGATTGTAGTTTGGGGTATATTTGGTTTCCTGAAAAATAGGGTTATGTAAATATGGAAAGGCATTAGATAATGAAAAAGAGATAAAGTTTCTATTTGCTTCCATTCAGATTTTTGCTTTGTAAATCTAGTAGCCCTGTTCACGGGTATTGCTCTGTCTTACTGAAGATTCAGTTTTATAATAACATCAAGGAAAGGAGCATCTTAAAGAAAAATATATAATTCAGTGCCATGGTTGATGAATTCAATATACAAATAGCAGCAGGGAAGACTCAAGACAGAAATTTTGGAGATGTTTTGCCAGCCAATAAAAGCAATATTGAGCAGAAAGTTTTAGGAGTATGGTGTACCAAGCAGTTAAGATGTTGGGCTTGTCAACTGGAAGGTTGGCAGTTTGAGTCCTAAGTACCACATGACTGAGTGAACTTCCATTACTTGACCCATCTCCTGCCAACCTACCAGTTTGATAGCATGTAAATACAAGAAGTTAATTGGAGAAACTGAGTTAGTGGTCAAATTTACTTAACACAAATGACCCAAAGAGCTAGGGCTTTGTAAAATTTTCTGTGTTAAATTTTGAAATGATTCTAGCAAGGCATAATCATGAAGTACTGCATTTATTTTTAACAAATCCCCAGCCATTGATGACAGGAAGCATCCCAAGCATTTTTGCACTAGGAGAGAGTTGTCAACTTTTTATGATATCACCAGTCCCTTTCGCACTGTGATCTGGTAGGAAGCATGAAACAGAACAGCAGGAAGAAAACAGAAAAAAACGGCAACACTGTATGAAGTACTGATCTATGTATACCTTCCAATCATACTTCCTGTCCCTTCTAATGAAGAAGATGAAGATGAGGAGGAGGAGGAGGAGGAGGAAGATCTGTATCTCACCAATTTCTGCTCAGTTCCATCATAGCCATAGAGAATACTATAAAAGGTGCAAGATCAAGTAATAAGAAGCTTCCTAGCCTCCCTTTTGCAATCTGACAATAAATCCCTAGCAGACAAAAAGCCTTAAATATAATTCAAAGAAAAAAATGTATTTAATGAGCAAGAAAAACAAGAGCAAATAAGATACTTTCTTCCAACCACAACAAGCCCAATTGAAGGTTACAGTAAGAAACATGACAAATATTCTAGACCAAAGTTTCTTGACTTGCCCACTTTTAGATGGGTGGAGTTCAACTCCCAGAATTCCTTAGTCAGCAAAGCACCTATAGATTTATAGCAATTGTATGGTGTGCAACATAAATGTGCCAGCAAAACAAAACAAAAAACATAGTATCACATCAGCATTACACAAGATCAAGACAAGACAACATATTTGATATTCTGTAGCAAGGCTCTTCCTCCTCCCCCTCAGGTGTGCTTTTCAGATTCAGCAAATCAGACTAAGCACAGCATTAGTCCCAGTCCACTGAAGTGAACCATGTGTAAATTCCATTCAAGTCGCAGCATTTAAGTTAACTGAATCTAATTGTATTAATCTGACTGGGTGAATTTCTATAACTATTAACAGATTATATACATCCAACCGAACATAAGTGGATTTATTCCTGAATATTTATGTATAAGATTTCACAGATGTCTAATGCTCTTTGGATGTGAGCCAGCATTTTACCTGAGGCCTCACCATTGCTAAATATGTTATTTGTCAAGTACTGGGTCAAATATTTATGCAGTTGTCCTCACACATTTGCGATAGGCTTACCCAGCGAAATCAACTACAGCTAATGCAGTACCAACACTCCACCACATTTTCTTTTCTACTACTGCACACTCACTTTTTTTTCAGTGCTGTTGTAACTTAAAATGGTCATTAAATGAATGATTGTAAGTCAAGGATTACCTGTAATTTAAATGCAGTAGACAGCCAATTCAAAAGGATAGTAAATAAAATGTTCCGATTATGCTTATGGATCCATTTGTGTGATTTTGAAGAAAGGTGAAACCATGCCTTGGTTTGTTTTAAGATTCAGTAGTAATCTTAAATAAACACACACACATACATGTGTGTATGTGTATGTGTGTGTCCAGTGTGTGTGTGTGTGTGTGTTCGCACGTGCATGCATATATATATGCACACGTAGATTTCTGTTGAACTCATTCACAAATTCTGTTCAAACTGAATAAATTCTAATTAAAATGCAATTTTGAATCAGTTTTTGACTGCTTCATCTATTCCAATTAAATATAAATCATCACTTAGAATATTATACACATCTATATTTATTGTGTAGTGATAATATTAGTAACACTGATTTGACTGTTAAGCAGTATATGATCTTTAGTTATCAGTGTCAATATCTTCAATTTACTGTGGCCGTAAGATATGTTTTCTAGTAATTTATATATTCATTTTGTATTTCCTGTCATTTCTTCTTAGGATGGAATTGGGGTAGATGAAAAGCTGTCATTAAGACAGGTAGCTGTTGTTGAAGATTTCTTTGATATCATCTACTCCATGCACGTGGAAACAGGACCAAATGGAGAGCAAATCAGAAAACATGCTGGACAAAAAAGAACCTATAAAGCAGTAAGTAAATAATCTTACACCAAGAGGAATGGCATATTGCTATGTTTTACCCAAGATAAATAAGATAAATAAGGCATATATTTGTCAAATAGATTTCAATTACACCATTTTATCCCTACATGGATCTGTGTTGACTTGCATTAATAAACTGAGATATGCTTTAATATATTTGGATTCCATGTTGATCAGATAGATCAGAACCAATTCACCAGTACATTTAAATAATGTTTCATACTTATTTTCCTGTAACTGATAGAGAAATCAAGTTGTATATATATTTTGTGTCCTACTTATCAGTAACTGATAGAAAAATCAAATTGTATATATATTTTGTGTCCTACTTATCAAGCTGATTCTTTTGTATTTAACATTTAATTGATTAAAACATTAAATATGTTATCCTTAGAGATAACATACATAGATACATAGAGATGAATATTTAGATAATATATAACTATTACTTATTTATATTAACACATGTATATAATATATTAATATACTATATTAATAATAAATAAAAATGTTCCTCAATAATTTTAGTAGGTGATCTTCAGGAAACATGATAAATTTAGATTTTTAAAAGTTTGAATCACTTTATTCTTAACAGTATTTCAGTTGTAATGTAGGCTGTCTTTATTACTTTCATAGTGAACCAGTTTTCCAATTTGAAACCCCTGTTTTAATTCTCCAGTCACAAAACATGCCTTCTTAAGTCCTCTACCTATCTAATTTATCTTTTAGTCAAGCAAAGTACTTTTACATTACAATGGGGCATTGTTAATATATGAATCAACCAAGTTCCAAATTTAAGAAAGCAATATTAACTTTGAGTTTTAGACCTATAAAGGAACAAAATTTAATTTCAGTGAATTTGAGATTAATTCAATAAAAAATGACCACTGAACTAATAAGGAACATTAACACCTCTTTTGATTTTTTTCATTGAGATAACATAGCAGAGATGATAGATTATTATTTCCAAAACATTAATGATGAAAGTTTAAAACAAATAACATCAAGATTTTATATAATAAAAATGTGAAATAGTTTTAAGGAAGATTATTGGATCAGCCCCAACCTACTTCAACTTCTTTTCAAAAACTATTTCAAAAATAAGCTTTACTAAAAAATAAAAAGCCTATCACTTGATTTTTCTGGACTAAACAGTCTATTGATATACTGTAGCTCTTTGGCAGGGTTAACTTTTTCTGAGAATTATGTGCTGCCTGTTAATTTAAAAAATGGAGGTGTATATATTAACACTTGCATATATAATACAATATAATTTTATATATGCACAATATAATAGTATATATTATACACAATCATATTACTGAAAACCCACCAGTAATAAAATAAAAATTCATTTAGAATGTGGTCAGGACAGACAAATACCTGAATGAAACAGAATTGGTTGTTTATTTTTTGGGGAGGGGGGAATTTGAGAGACTTAAGAAATGCATTACCATTAGGAGAAATCGAATAAACAAGAGACTGAATGACCCGAACAATTGCAGACAGATTGGACTACAGAGACCATCATGGACTATATTACAGATCAGATGAATAAATTGAGAGTTAAGACAATAATGAAAATAAAAGAGTATGGTTTTAGTGAAAAGAAGGTAATACAAGAAAGAGCAAATCAGATTGCAAAAAGAACAGGAGAGTATACCATGTTTCTCATCCTTCTTTCCTTCAATTCAACTCATCTAAAGAAATTATATCAGATGAGTGTGGCACACATACTCTCACTCTTCTGATAGTGTTCTGACAAGTATGAGTTTACAGGTGTAATCAAACTCATTGATCAGCTACTCAGAACATAGAGAAACTCAGCCTTAACCCTCAGTTTTGCTCACACAGGGAAGGAAAATTTCAGTGGTGTGTAAGAATTTACAAAATCAAAAAGTAAATCCATTCTCTGAATAACCCTAAAATTTCTCCAAAGCTATTTGAAAGTACCTGATTTTATCTGGTGCCTTAAATGATGCAAAATTTCTATGTGTAAATTCTTTCAAAAACATCTTTGTGTAATTTCTATGTGTAAAACTCTTTAAAAAGGACTTTAAAACATCACCAAATCACAAGGCAATGGTCCCTTATATACCTACTTTTTGTTTACCTTAGCCATTCAAATAAGGGATGAGCAGCTGGTTTTTTAAGGAATTTATTGGAGACACTAGACTTAACCGGTGGAAACTTTAGAATTAAGCAGTATTCAATACAATAATTAAATGTTTGTTGTAAGATTTTTTGAGACAAGTCACATTCAAATAATTTTCAGTATGTTGTTCTCTATTTTATCTGCTAACTAATCATCTGGGTTTTTTGTCAGCTAATTTGTCCATTCTTTTTTCCCTCTGCCATCAGTTCTCTCAGTCAGCTAATCTATCATTTCCCTAATTTCTTATTTTGTGTCTTTCTCTCACAGAGAAATAATATGATTACTTCAATTTTTTAATGCAAGAATTAGATCAAGTAACTTTTCTGTTGTTGCAATGCTACTCACATATATCTGTGAGAAAGCTTCATTACTCACAGTGTAACTTATTTCTGAGCAAATATTGGGGTTTCATTATTAAATATTATGCACACAAGATAAATACTTTCAACTTTAATGTTGCTATTTTCTAGATATCAGGATAATCTTGCTTGCTAGCATGTTTATTTATCTTGAACTTCATGTATGAATAAATTAAGTATCATTGTTCTGACTCCAACTCTGAAAAATAATAAAGGTTTTGTGGCACTATAAAGCTGGCAAATTTGTTTTGGAACACTGTGGTAGTTTGTAAACAAGTAGGAAGAGGATAAAATAGGAAAAACACTTAGGGAAAGAACCTGGATGTTGACATGAATTATAAGTGTTCTGTCATGTCAAAGCTGCTATGCCTGTAGGGCAGTTGGTGGTCAAATACATGAGTACTAATGGGCACTGCATTGGCAAGTCAATTGTATGACAGCCATCACAACATCAAGCAATGCACTGTTATCTATCCCAGCTAACAGATAGTTTCTCTTTCAACAGCTAAGTTGTGAGCAGCCTGTTTCCTGTTTCATTATATCAGAAAAGTACCTATATCAAAAATTTATTTGACAAGTTCAAAATGATTTCATACTAAATTTAGCTCTTAAGGCAACAAAAAAGAATCTAGTTATAGGATGGAATAACACTTCCACAATCATGCAAAGATAAACTCAGTTTCCATTTGACCCTATATGCTCTTTTGCTGGTTACTTGCTCATTCACATTCTGAGATTTTTTTTCTTTGTAATTTCTACCATTATAGCTGCTTTTTCCAAGGTAGTTCTCTCAAGGTATTTATGCCATTGCTGTAAAGAGAAAGTAAATATTGTGGAGAATAGAATAAGTTTTTGAAAACGCACAATTCATTTGAAATTTTCTAAATATATACACTTTTTAGGAGAAAAGTAATCAGTATATTCATTTTAATTGAACACATTTTAATAGCTACCATGTGGACGCTGTTTCAAATTTGTTCAGTCACACAACTGCCATTGTGTAGGCTACACAACATTTTGAAGACAAATTCTCATAACAAGTAATATTGTGCAATGAATTGATTTACATCTCAGATTATCCATGCTTATGTATGTGTGTTTGTGTGTGTATGTATTGTCAGGATTATGGCAGTTACCCCAATTAAATCATGAGTCTCGAGCCAAACTTTCAAAACTTCAAAAGGATTTATTGGGAATTAAAATGTCCAGCACTGCCTGGGTGTAGCCAACTCTGAGACACATAATTCATTGTCACCCTTGACTCTGGTTTTCCTCCACCCCCTGGTTGTATCATAATTCATATTCCCCAATGGGACACATCCATAGCAAGAATAATAAATCATGTTCTCTAGTTAGAATTTTGCACAGCAGAAACTTCAGTCACCTAGCTAATATCTTTGAAAACTATTTATGGAATGCACTTTTGATTTCCAAGCTGCCGCACTGCTCCGTCCTCCCTTTCTGTGGCAACTCTAAAAAGACCATAGAAATATTTTATGAGTTGACATGTATTTATGCTTGTAGATTATTTTAAAGTAAATGTTTTATTTTATAAATAAAAGATATTTTTTTTATTTATATCCTAAGACCTTAGCTAAATAATAAAATAAAGAAATAAATAAACCATAAAACCTTTTCATATATTATCAGTTTTATATACAAATGTTTAAAATTAGTTTTATCATGAATGAATCCATTTCAAAGATGTTTTAGCTGCCAAAATTTGACCTATACCATTTGACCTATACCAACTATACCATCAATAGATTGAACTGTACAATGCATCTATACATTTTAAAATCACATATGCAACATATGTATTACTTATTAGCCTGTGCCGATGACAATGAGGACTTCCAGACATGCAGATTCTCCTTCTCCCCTCCCCAATTTCTCTTATACCAAATATCTTGAGCTGAGTGAATAGGCATAAATGATGAAGGAGAACAAAGAAGAGTGGTACCGTAATCAAGCAGAACAAGGCACTGAGTTTTGACACTCTCATCTAAGCTTTAGTGTAGCTTATATAATAAGGACCAATAATTAGCCTAAAATCAAGCCATTTAAAACAATGCTTCAATTGATGAAATTTCAAATGCAATGAAAATCCCACTCCAAAAGAGTACATGGAGTACATTTTCCAGCATGATAATTAATTACATCTACAGTATGCCTACATTTCTTTGTATACACCACATCAAACATATTCTTTGTCATCTTTTTCTAAATCATCAATTATTTAATAACAATAACACAGTCACAATACTCTAAATGTTTAGCATTTGTCAGGTACAAGAAAGGACATTGTCTGGAAATATATTAGCGCAGTATATAATATAGCAAATGTACCATTGGTTATATAAATCTGAGGAATGAAGGATACAGAAGGATGAATATAGTCAGGGATAATGGATTCAGAAGAGCATATTTTTTTAAAAAGAGTAAATACATATATCTGTACACTTGTTTCATGACATACTAGAGTTCAGCTAGGAAGTTGCCTAGAAACAGAAAGAAGAAATATGGAGGCATAACCTTGTTTTATTTCTGTTGCATCTGATGAATAGCACTGCTAACAATATTTGCAACACATATCCTGTGCTGCAATTCTACTTGCTATATTGTATGTTGGTGGCATGTAGAGGAATGTCACACAAGAATTCTGCATTAGTTTGAAGAAAGGGACAGATTTCTCTTTTCACATGCAATCATACTGGAGAACAGAGGGAATTTATTTTTGGGCTCATTTGGTAGCATTCAAACTGCAGTAAAACTATTGTTAAAACTAGTATTCTTTTTTGAAAGAAATATACAATTCTATGGCTTCACAAGCTTATGACCATTTCTCTACTGGTGGTAATTCTTGCCTCACCTTCATTTCCTTGATTTTTAGCTTTAGCCTTATTAGCAATTCTTCTCAGGGAAAAGGGGCTTGATATTTTAGCTTTGCAGCTGGACCACTGAGAATTTAGTTTTCGTAAGACCAGGCAAATGACTCAGCATGAAGTAAGGCTTTAGAGATTTATATATTTAAATCTTTCATGGAGTAAACTCCATGTTACTGCCCAGGCAACAATTTATTTAACATTATTTTCTGCTTCCAACTTGTGTTTTCAAGTCAGGAATGTGTAATGAGGAAGATTCTGAGATAGCTTGACATTGTTTCTGAGAATTTAGGAAGTGAAAATAGTGACAGAAGGGGCCTCAAATTTGTTTTATTCTGAATTTGTAGCTGAGAATGAATGAAATAATTTTGGGACTGAAGCAGAGTATAAATTCTACTTTTTTGTTAATCTATGTACTACTAAAACTCTGGGGCTTGTTTGATACTTTGTAACTTCAGAGCCTGAAGAAGGGAAAGAGGAAAAGAAGGAAAGAAGAGAAGGGATGGAAGGGAGGTAGGAAAGAATAGGGAGCTCCCACATCCACTGATTATTACTATTTTTTGCTTGCCTGTAGTCATTTTGTTTCTCTGATTAGGTAAGGAAATATCTCTAAAATGATGACCTAATGGATCATGGATGTTACTTCTAAAAGTATTTAATATGCGAGTATACAGAGAAGGCCACGTTTTCTCATTCAGAAATAATACCTTTTGTGCCATGTTATGAGAACTGTATTTCTCCCTGTGAGCTATTTTTGATAGACAACAAAAATTTATAACTTTTTGCCCAAGGTTCAGACAGCATACATTTTTCCCTCCCCTATTTTCCCCCACAAAAATATCTTGTGATGTAGGTCGATAGAAGTTGAGGTAATTTGCCTAAAACCACCCAGTTTGCTCCATGGCTGAGGGTGGTCTTGAAGCCAAGTCTCCTTTGTGCAATCCAATGCTTTCTCCGGGCACTATACTATTAAGTTCTAGTGTATGAAATATACACCAGTTTCACAGCTTAACTCTTTTGTTTTCCAAATAAAATTCTATCCTATCTGAATGAATGGTGAACTCAATACAATTTTTTTATTAAAATAAATGAAACATTTCCGAAAATACAGGTTGCTAATTAATCTACAAGAATGCTTCATTAATTTCAATGCACTAAATTTTTGAATACGTTAGAGACATTAACTAATGTGTACATTTTTGTAACTAATGTGTAAATTTTCACTCTTAATTTTAAATAGTGGTTCAGTCTGTCTGGCAGCAACATGGCAGTACCCAATATTGGGTATCCAGTATACCCAATATTGTTTATTGTTGAAAGTAGAAGTAAGTAGAACTAAAAACTATGTTGGATATGGGCTCCTATACATAGCAATGCATAGGGTGGGCAAGATAAGGGGTGATCAAGTATATATCTTAATATTGTGATACTAGATCTTCCCCTTATGCACAGTGCACAATGGAACATTGTGATCATAAAAGGAAGGTATTTCTGTTGTGATGTTAGGAGGATTTTAATATCATTATTTGGAATGAATACCTATGTTGAAACATGTACTGAAATAACTAGCAATAGCAATAACATTTAGACTTATATACAGCTTTACAGCACTCTCTAAGAGATTTACAGAGTCATAATATTGTCCCCAACACCTGGCATCTGACTGTGGTAACTCTTAAAAGTAGCTGATCTTCTCCTGCTACTATCTAAAATTGACAAGCAATTAACAAAGGATTATCAAGAGGCAAAATTGGGGACACAATAAAAACAGTGGTAACACTATAACAAATAAAAACAAATATTCTGGGCATATGAACAAAAGACATTTTGGAAACATCATTTGAATATTTATTATTTTCTTGATTTTTTTTTATCATAAGCAAAAATGATTTTATTATCATTATGTCTTGATTTGGTGGACTTGTAAGCTGCTATTGTTTGAAATTCAATGTAGTATTCAGGCATACTTTATTGGATGTTCAGGAACTATGATATCATACACTTTATTTAGAAATATAATGATAGGTTCCATTAAATCATACTCACTCAGCTTATATTATAATACCTATATTTCATTATTTATTTCAGATTTCTGAGACCTATGCCTTTTTACCAAGAGAAGCAGTGACACGATTCCTAATGAGCTGCTCAGAGTGCCAGAAAAGAATGCATTTAAACCCAGATGGAGCTGATCATAAAGGTATGTTTGGTGTCAAATAATGAGATGTAAAGCATTTTATTCATAGCCCATTTATATTTTCCTGATTTAAGTGGAGAGTCATAAAATTGTACACTAGAATGGTTGAAACATTCATACTGCATTAGCATATATTTAGCATGTCTCCAGAATTCTCTGAAAGGCTTATATGTAATACTATGTATGCTCTCATGTAGCTACAATAGGTCAATAATTTTTTTCTTCTACTGTTCAATCATATTCAATTCTTGGAGATTGCCTGGACAAGTCCTTGCAGTTTTGACAGAAAGGTTTTTCAGAACTGGTTTGCCATGGCTGAGAGAAAATGACTGGCCCAAGTCACCCATATACAGGCAGGGCTAGAAGTCACACTCTTCTGGTTTCTAGCCTTTAACAACTACACCAAGATAGGATAGTTTTCATTCAGAAAATGAACATTTTTCTAAAATGATATATAACTATCCTCTATGGCAGGGCTGTCAAACTCGCGGCCCGCAGCCCAGATGTATCATGTGCTGGCCCCGCCCTGCTTGATTTAGCAAAGGGAAAAAAAGTGCTGATATGGCACAAGATGCGCTGTGATGACACAAGTTTGACACCCCTGATCTATGGTATAATAAGATGATGTGTGAAAATTTAATGCATGATTTTTTTTCAGCTAAACCCATCCCTCAGTTTTGTGATGGGGGGAAGAATCTGATGAGTGCAAAGCATGCAATCCTAAGATCCTGGAGGATGATACAGTCTGAATCTAACAAATGAAATGTAATGATAATATTTAAGATGGGTTAAAGTACAGATAAACTCTAGGCTAGATACAATCCAAACCTAAATAACATATTCTGAAATGAAAAACTCTGCTTTCTCTCTACTGACTCCTTGCATCTATAGAAGCTTTCCATTAAGTATGAAATATAAATACATCAGTACTCTTAAATTTCATTTGAATTGTAGAAGGAAGGTTCTTTCTCACAGAGGGACAACCTCATAGATCTCATAGAAAACATAAGAATTTTGAGAGGAGGCAAAAGAGATTTGACAAGTGAGACAATTTTTTCAGATCAGCTAGTTACCTTGATTGTATGACTGATTTTATGCCTTTAAGTTGCTGTTGATTTTTAGTGACACAGATGTTCTCCATAATGATTTACCCCTAACCTGGTCTTCAATTCTTCCAATGGTTCCTACTGCTGAACCATGTCTAAATATTGTTTGCTCCCATTCTGTGTTATTCACTGGTTTATTCTCTGGCATACTTAGTGGAGTTTTGGGATAAAACAATTTAAGATTAAAATGCAGAAAGGGGATAAGAAATACTAAAACCACAAGAAAAAACATAGTTAAAATTAGTTTACCCTAATTCACTATTAAATTAATTGAAATAACTCTATGTTTCTCTTGACATAATCAATTCTTATTCCATTTAACAAAGTGGTCAGAAGCATGCTATTATCTATCCATATCTTTCTATCATGTGCAAGAAACCAGGTAGAGTTCAAAAGCATTGCAAGTTTATTCCAAGCAATCTATACACAAAAATCTGATCTACTAATGATCAAGGCACATTCACACTAGATAGGAGTTAACAGGCTTCCAAGATCTCTTTCAGGGATGTAGGGATTCTAGACTGATGGTGCATTTGACCCCACCTTGAGCTCAGCCTGCTCACTCCTACACTATCTCTGGAAATCATCCTGGCTTTCATTGTGTTCATACCAGTTCATTCATTGCATTTTGTTTTCAGATATTTCATCTTTTATTTTTGAAGATCTCAATTCCACTGAAGCATAATTCTTGGCTCACTATCCATTAACTTTTCTTCATGTCACTCACCTTGGTGCTGAATCACAGTATTCATAACCCATTATTTTTCCACTTCATTGAAATTACTCTATGTTTCTCTTAACATAATCAATTCTTATTCCATTTAACAAAGTGATCAGAAGCATGCTATTATAGTTATAAACTAATAAAATATTAAATCCCCCAAAGAAGCATGCTGCTATAGATATTCATTTTTGCTCATTTTTGACAAACACTCATACCTTACATTATGCCATATACTACATATTATTGTTCTATTTGCATTTGCATACCTTAACATTTCTGTATTTCCCCCCATATTTAATAAATATTCTATTAAAATATAGGAATTAATTTAGTTACTATAATTTGTAATTGTTTGCTTCATCTTCCCCGTCAAAAAAATTGTATTGGTATTTGATAATTAATTTTTCAGATCCATATTCACATTATATTATTAATGTGGGAAAGCAGGGGATGAAACATTTGGTGTTTATCTCAGAAGAGGCAATTCAGTGAAAGACTCTCCCTTAAATATATGACTGAGTTTATGAACCAATTCTTGCCATTTTCATATCTTAGACTAGCATTAAACTTTTATATTGTTTTTGCTTCCTTATGTTGCCAGCCTTGAGGGTCTTGACAACAATCTTGAAAACTTGGTTGCCACTCTGTCCTTCCCAGTTCCATTTTGGGGAGAAGATCAAACAAAGTAAGAGATGAGGAGTTCTCTCCATCATGCTTGCTTTTTTCCATCATCTATTACTATCCTATTCTATCCTATCATTTTCTTGTACTAATGGGCCCACCCCTTCCCTTTTCTTTCTTTCACTATTTACAGTACCAAAAAAGCCTTCCCTGTGTGAATCTAAGTGACTTTTGTACTTTAGCCTTCCAACTTTATTTCAGGAGCTATTTGCTACTTACTTATTCAGTTGCTTGGTGATTATATCCACCTTCCATTTACTCAATATGTCTTTCTAACACTTAGTTCACCTAAAAGCCTGCTGTGCAATTTCTAAAATGTCAATTTTTTTCTTATTGAAAAGTTTTGTAACTATAGTTTCAGTAATGTATTTTTGAGAATTTCCCAACTTTCTTACACAATCTTGGATCTCAGAATTTTTTCCCCATGGGATCCTGCATGTTACTTCTCTGGAATTGCCTTTTCTGAAACATATTGTGCACACTATTATGCTCCAATTTCTCTTCCTGAAGTATCTTGAATCTAAAGATGATATGGTTACTTCTCCCCAAAAATCCCATTCCTATCTAGGAGGATTGGTCCTCCTGTTCTTGTCTTCAGTCTTCTGAAACATGAAATGGTCAGCAAGTCTACTGAGAAATTGTGGAAGCTTGCAGTTTTGGTGAACCTGGGTTTTCCAACAAATATCTGGGTTGAAGTTTTCTTTATAACTATGAATGTCATCCCTGAAAATTCTTTAAACTAGTCCAGGAAGGCATTATCCAGAGGTTCTGCCTAGCTTGGTGGGCTACAGCAGTCGTCTCCCCAAACGTCAATAATATCATTGTTTCCTACCTTGTGTTTTTATTCAAATCTTCTTGGACTTTGGCATTTAAATTCCTGGATCTCAGTATCTGAGTGCACTTCCTTCATGTATAATGCCACTCCTCCACTTTTGTTTGGTCTTTTGAACATGTTATATCTTTCAAAATTATATCATCAGCAGATGGGCCATAGATATGGATCTTGAACACTCTCATAGTCTTGATCAATGTAAGTCTTCACATAATATATTTCAGAAGGTGTAGAAAAAGGAAGGTGTAGAATGTAGAATGGTGTGTGCTTTAATGTAGCATGGCACATGCACCTTTCTTTGCTAATCATACAGCCATATCATTCAGTTTAGGCCTATTTTATTAAAGTACGTGGAAGCATAACAAAAATCCTTTTACAAGGCAACAACTAGGTACATGCAATGTGCTGCCACACTTTCTCGATGCATTGTCATTTAACTGCAAATCCTGGATGTAGCTTTCTTGCTGAAGAAAAGTGATACATATGTAATTAAATTATGGGGCTTTCATTGGACCTGTTGCAAATCTCTCTCTATAAAATATCTCAATATATTTTTATTGTCATGTAGAAAGTTTGTAATTATGAAGAAATGTTTATAATCCCAATGGAGTTTTATCAAGTTGCAGTTGCTGATCAATTTTTCCTAAAGTGGAAATATTCTAAACACTCAGTTTGCAATTAATTTGCTTGTAGAACCATATAATTATAATACAATATATAATATGTTCTAATTCTTTCAGATAATGGAAAACCTCCAACATTGGTGACAAGCATGATTGATTATAATATGCCAATCACAATGGCCTATATGAAGCATATGAAGCTGCAGCTATTAAATTCTCAACAAGATGAGGTAAACTTAGCTTGTTCATATTAATAATAATTATATTCAAATTACATTCATGTAATTTGCTGTGTGAGGTTTGGACTTGGGTTAAGAGTTTTTCTTTTTAATGCAATTTGATTTTTCCAAATGGAAAATATGGTAAACATGAAAACTTAAAAAAAAACCTGTTATACAGAGTTCATAAATTTATAGATAGTAATAATTTTGCAAACTGAACAGCTTGTATCATTAGCTAGTGTTAAAATAATGGGAAAATATGGGAAGCAACATGATAGGATATTTTTTTCATTGTGTTATTGGTTGTCTTGAAAGGAATCAAGAACGTTTAAAAGCAACAAATTGTCTTGAACATTTGACTACCATGACTATCTGGAAAAATTGAATGACATGGTTAGAAATAATAATAATAAATTTGTCTTTTACCTATAAATTGTGGAGAGAGACATATACATGAGCAAAGTTGATGAGATGGCACTTACTGAACTGAACTGAATTGTCTCAGTGTTTCTCAGTGTTGAGAGCTTGAAGATGCATTTGTGCTGGGAAATCCTGGGAATTGAAATTCACACATTTTAAGTTGCTAAGGTTGAGAAATGCTGCTCATAAATACACATAAAAGAGAAAAGTTGACAATAAATAAATGTCCAAAACAACCTATAGAAAACCGAGACCAATCATCAACTCCTTAGGCAGTACAGATTAAGAATAGGGAAATTCATAATAAAGCCACCTGAATCCAATTTTCAGTTTTATCCAACCTAAGACATTTTACTTTTTCAAAAACATTCACCATTTGAAAAGAAAACAGACTGAAGAAGAAATGGGAAAGCTTTCCCTTTGATCTAATTAATAATCTGCTTCTACTCGAAAAGTATAAAATAAAGTCAAAATAATATGCTAATTGGTTCGGTCCCAACTTAACTCTAACCCATCCACCAGAGCACAACCATCAATAAAATGAGAAAGGGAAAAAGAACAGCATATTATTTGATCTGTTGATTCTCTACACTCCTCTTAAAAGGTTGTTGTTAATTGTAATAGTATTTCTCCAAGAAGCTCTATGAATTTAGATGTATATTAAAAAAAAAAAAGAAGGGGGAGAAATGGTACCTTTTGCCCAGCATAGCCAATGTGATCAAATTTGGAATATCTTGTACTCAGAAAATTCTTTCTGTCAATATCCACAAAAGCAATGAAAGATTTATTTTCACAACAGAGTTTTCTTATTAGCACATACGATTCTGTAACACACACACACACACACACACACACACACACACACATTTTTGAACACATTTTTGTAACATTTGCATATTTACAATCAGCTTTCCTTAATGTAGACATCAGATGGCAGCACCAAGCCAATTTTGGCTAACCCCTGAAAAAGTTAAAAAGGTGATTCCATGTTACTGCTCAGATGGAACACAAAAAATTATGATTCCAAGTATCAAATCACTTTATACTATGCCATATTTTCTGATCATAGTTAAAATATTTTCATGATGCATCATGAAAAAAAAATTGCTGAGAGGCTTACATTGTTAATCTATTCCCATTTTTCTGGGAGTAAGAACTATTGAATACAGTCGACTCTATTGAGCAGGGATCATGTGTCTGAGTAGATAGAATCAGAAAAGCAGTATATTTACAAACTACAGCTACAGGTCTGAAAAGTGTGCTATAATAAACTGTTCTTCTGTATGTACTCTTTATATTAATGGGGCTATACTTGTAGTGTTTTACTACTGCCTGCAACTGTCCCCGTGAACTATGACTATTTCCTACAAATGTACATTCTATAGTAATTTTTTTAAAAAGAATGATTCTGAATATCAGCTGTCTGTCTTACAGCTGGGCATATGTGAAAATTAGCAATTAATGCCAAGATTCTTGGACCATGACAATTATCTCAGTCAGGTTGTGATACTAGATCTTGCAAAAGTATCCAAGCTTAACACATTATGCTGCCATACTCTCCTTACCTATTATGAATGTATATGATCCTGGAAGATAGGATGATCAGTCTGAATCTGTAACATGACAACAACCAGGAATAGGGTTTTAACTAAGGGGTTAGGACCAGTGGTGCGATTCAACTGGTGTAACAACCAGTTCGGTGAGTGTGCGCTTTACAATTAATCCATTTATTATAGTTTAAAGCCCTACTTTTTTGGGATTCCCTACTTTTTTGGGATTGTTAGCAGATCTAGATTTTTTAGTATATGCAAATGCTCTTGCAAAATAGACTACTTTGTAAAGAAGTCATTACCCATTCATAAAATAACTTATATGGTAGATAATCTGTTACAAAGCACTCATTTAAAACAATGCTACCTAACGCTTATAGCTCCTCCCTGTACAATATTTATTATTTTTGGTTACATTTATTCTTTCCATGAAAATAAAAGCTTTGAAAGCTAATTCTTCCTCTGAATTGGGAGGAATCCTAGGAATAAGTAGTCAATTTATTTATTCAGTTTTTTTCATTTATTAAATGTCTTTATTTTAGTTATCCATTTAGGTGTCTACTATAACCTCGTTATAGTTTTATTCAGATACTTCATAGAGTAGAGGAGGTAGATTATCTCCGCATTGTAGGTAGAAATTGGATAGGAGAAAATGTACACCCTACATGGAGGATTTTCCCTTGTTTAGATCTCTATGTGAACATATAGGTGGTGAAGAAATAAGACCAAGGCCAGCAGCCAGGTTTCCTTTGCCTGGCATGATGTTAACTATGTTGAGGGAAAAGACTTATATCAAACTACTTTTATTCTGGAAAACAGTGTTGTTTTTTTCTGATGAGTACTTTCCCAGGCAGACTAGTAACTAATTTTCACACTAGATTACAGTAAGTATGATAGAAAATGAATATCTATCCTTTCATCAGGAAAGAGTTCATTTCATGGATATATTGTATACTGTGAAGAATAGATTGATAGGGAGGCCCTAGAAAATGTAAACAAATTTTATATGTAATGTAATACTTCATAATTTAAAAAATACATGATGAATTTATACTAAATGTTTATTTATAAGAATTAATTCATCATGCTTGCATATATTTTGGATGGAAAACAAAACACAGTTCATACATTAAAACTTTTCAATAACAAAAACTACTATTGAAACAACGATAATCTGTTCTGATTCATTACTTATCCATAATTTTTTCCTCTGCTTCAATTGCCCCAAAATTAAGTTTGTTTCCTACCCTTCATAAGTCCAAAATATTTTGCTATTCCTTTATCTGATATCTCACCATAGCATCTATTACAATTTGATGGAGTTTATACCTTTAGATTTTCTTTCTCTTTGCTAAGATTTATAGCAAATTATAGAATAATCAAAATGATGATGATGATATGCTATGATGATGGTGATGATGATAATGGTAATGAAGAAGTTGAGTTTTTCTAGGCATCTTTCAGAATGAGTTATCAGTCATGCTTAAAATAAACAAATTCCTTCAGATTAAGTTCAGGTTATTTAATTTTTCTATCGGTGTACCCAGAGATGTGTTCCATGATTCTCATCAGGCTCCTGTCCTACTTGCATTTTGATATCTTTAACTAATCTCTTTTATTGGAAAAAAATGGGAACTTATCAATCTCAAAAACAATAGAATCCCTCTGTATTTCCTTGGATCATTCCCCTTCCATCCATCCAAAGAAAGCCCAGTGCCAGAATGTTTGCAAAATGTCCAGTGTAGCCCTCAGCTTGAAAAGATCCCTGTGCTAAATCAATGTCTCCCATGATAATGAGTTTTTCATACAGACAGGATTTATTCAACATCATCTGCTACATTGTTAACATTCGAGATGTGCCCCAAACCCTAATGAATTTAAAACCCCTGAACTAAAGCAAGGATATAACACTATGTACTACTGTTACCTTACACCATTTCATTCTGCATTTTTAAGAGATAGAAGTATTATGGTGACCTGTTTGTAGAAATTACAGCTATTTTGCGCAACCTTCTATCTCTGTTCCATTTAATCATTAATTATGAATTCATGTATACATAGCATACGTGTGTGCTCTGTATAATATTAGGTTTCCAGGGGGAAATCAGCCAGTTAATAATTCTTACATATATACTTACAATCTTAAGTGTTATGACTCTTTATATGTATTTCTTGCTAGATTTGTCATTACCTGACATAATCCAATTCCGTACAAACATGTTTGAAAATTACCTTGATATTTTAAATAATATGTGATATGGAATGTTATATCTTCAGGATGAAAGTTCCATAGAAAGTGATGAATTTGATTTGAGTGATTCTACCAGAATGTCTGCTGTGAATTCTGACCTCAGTTCAAATCTTGAAGAAAGAATTCAAAGTCCACAAAATCTTCAAAGTCAGCAAGATGGTAAGGTATTTTAATGTTTAATAAATGAAGACGAGTTTTATTGCTAAGTTTTTTTCTTTATTGACTTTTGTTTTTGTTTTTCCTCCATTCATTGTGTCCAATTCTTGGAGACTGCCTGGATATGTCCCTGCAGGTTTTTTTGGCAGGATTTCTCAGAAGGTGAGAGAAAGTGGCTAGCTCAAGGTCACCCAGCTGGCTTTGTGCCTAAGGCAGGGCTAGAACTCAGAATCTCCCAGTTTCTGGGCTGAAGCTTCACCATCACTCCAAACAGGCTCTTTATTCCTGATTATTTGCCGGCAATTGTTGATTCCTGAATGTGATGAACTATTTCATGGGATTGTTTCAAAACCATTTTAAACAGAAACAATTTTTGTGTGAATGTATCATTAAAGTAGCTGTATTCTTTGGAAGATGCTTCCAAGCTATCACCAGCCATCTTTGTGTATTTGCTTTACATGTTTGCTTTGATCCACATCTGGTCCTAACAGAAATGTTATCTGTGTAAGTAGAGACATGTCCTATAAATTGAACAGACTTTGAAGTCACCGTGAAAGTCTTAAAAGGGACTTAATTGCTTTAATGCTTCAAAGATACTAATTACTTTGTGAATCACAACCTCTGCATCACTAACATTATGGTCAGATTTGCAAACAAGTATAAACTACCTACATGCATCCTGGATCAAACATTGGGACCTACCTAACTATGACATAGTACATCAGCATGATCTTAAAGACATCGCCATCATTCATGCCATGCGAGATTCAGAGTACTAGATGGATTACAAGTTGGTCTGGTCACTCCTCAAACTTCACATAGCCCCTTTACATCATAAGGAACCAAGAACTGTCAGAAAGCCAGTCCACATCAGCAATCTACAGGTACAGATCAAGTCCAACACTTCAAAGATGTACTTACTGAAAATCTCTCCGGCAATTCACCACTTGTAGGAACCCATTTTGAAAAGTGGATGCAGTTTAGAGAAGGTATCACACAGACTGCAAAAGTGTACTTGGACTGAAAATATGGGCATATCAAGACTGGTTTGATGACTTCCAGTTTGAGCTTCTTTGGTGACAGACCGAAATCTGCAATCGTGCGCAGTTTCGATCTGTGCTCACTGCTGGAGCGCCCCGAGCTGGCTGGTTTTGGGGCTAAGCCACCCCGTAGAGGTAGTGAAGAGTGGGGAGACTGCCAGCAGGGTCGAGGAGAGTCACACCTCTCCTCCGCAGCTGGCCTTATTCCCTTTCCCGAAGGCGGTTGCAGCGGTGGTCAGAAATGGCCACCTCAAAGAAGAACTCATCCGGAAAAGAATGTGCAGGAGGAAGATAAGAAGAGAAAGTTTTGGCTGACCGTGTTGAACTGGAAAAACAACAATACAAGGTACCCTGGAATTTGAATTATAAAGAACAATATTTTTCCCAAAGAAGACTTTGAAGTGGTGAATGAGAGAGGGAAGGGAAAGGATTTTTTTTTTTCTTCCCTATATTGACAACTAAGAGACTTAAGCAAGAAACCGGCAAAAATCCACTTTGACATTAACAGGTATTTAAGCTGAAAATAAAATGCCAAAGGGATAATAAAGATTTCTGGATTCTAAAAAACTTTTAAAAGAAGGAAAAAAAACAAAAGGGTGGAATCTGGAAAAATGGAGGAGACCACCTGGAAGTGAAAGGAATTAACAATGAAACTTTAACAAGATTCTGAAAAGATACATTTTAACTGAGACTTTGTAACAAGATAAGAAAACCCCAGGAAGAGAAAGTGGAAAAAAGAAGCAAGAAGAAACAGCTTTGAATTATTTGGATTTTTGGCTATTGGATTTAAAGGACTAAAATTAATCGGGTGGTTGTTTAAAAGTTTTTAAAATGGTATCACTCTTGGAAGAATTGAGAATGGAACTTAAAAAAACAGAAAGAAGATGCACAAGAAAGAAGAGGCTCTTTTGGCTTCGTATTTCAATTTTTAGAAATGGAGATCCTGAACTATGAGAAACAACAAGAAATGCCTGTAGCACAAGAAGGGCGGGACAAAGAAGAAGCCATCTTTAATGACCAAGTATTTCTATGTGGGGAAAAGAAAGGGAAGGGGGGATAGAGAGTGAAAAATTTAAGATCTGAAAAAACAAAAAAAAGAATAGTTTGAAAAGTAATTACAACATTAGGAAGAAACAGAAGAGAGGATTACAGAAGAGAGAATCAGAATTAGAGAGAGAAGGGGTCAAAAAGGGAAGGGAGAATAAGAGGGAGGAGAGGGAAAGGAAAAGAAATTATAAAGGATGGAAACAGGACATAGAGAAACAGAGAAAACGTACAAGACACAGAGATAATGGGTGAAAACTTAATTGAAAGGGGGATTATGCAAGGGTACATAAAATAGTATTGTTATATTAAAAATAGAAATGAACTTTGAAAATATGAAACAAGTGTGATTAAAATGATAGATAAAATACTCATTGTAATGTAATGTAATGTTTAATAAATAAATGAAATAAAGAGAATGAAAGAATGAAATTAGGAAAGGAGGGGAACATTTTAATTATTATAAATGTGTTATAAAAATTTAAGTGAAGAGGAATATGAAAGAAACATGAAAAATTATGGAAATATTATAAATGTTCCTAGAAGTATGATATCCTGAAAAGAAATGTTAAAGATGTCAAAGATTATAACTAACATTAATGATAGAGATGAATTGGAATAGAATAAGTATTTTATTTATTATTGTTTTATATATATATATATTTTCTCTTTAAGAACTTAATGCATATTTTAAGAATGTACCAAGCAGAATTAGACTGGAAGTTATGTGTTATATTGAATGTTATTATTGTAAAGGCATAAATTGAAGTTTAAATAAGAGCTGAATGGATAAAAATTAAAAGATACAAAGGTGTCATACTCAAATTAGTAACTACAGAGAAAATTTTTGTTTAATGAGAAAAGAAAATATGAAATTGAAACAGGACAGACAAAAGTATAAATATGATGACTAGAAAGGTATTGAAACTTAGAAAAAGATAATATATAATTGAATTTAGAAAGGAATGAGATAATTAAAAGTAAGATTGAGAAAACTAAGGGAAGGGAAAAATTATTGAGAAAATGTTAAAGTAGTAATAAGATATGGAATAGAACACAAAGATGAATATGAAATTGAATTTGTGTCTCTATGGAGAAGTGATAACCCGGGACCATGCTATTCTCAAAAAAAAAAAAAAACCAAGAAATTTTACTTGTATTATGTTTTGTGAAAACCCAAATAAAATTTTTATAATAAAAAGACTGGTTTGATGAAAACCACAAAACCATTTCAATACTCCACCAGGCCAAGAACAAGACCTTGGCAGACTGGCAGAATAATCCATCATCACATCAAAGAAATCAATTCACCCTCCTTTTATATCATTTTCCAAAATATTGACTCCCCCACTTACTTTTGTATAATTTGCCAGTTTCACCTTATTCTCTGCTTCTTTGGAATTCGGGGTATAACTAAGTTTCTCCTATAGAGGAATAACAGAAAATATTTTATTAAGCCTACTTTACAAGTGCATTATAGGGGGAGATCGGTCCCCAATGGGCTATTCTATTTTAATTTTCGGAAGCAGTTGTCTTATGATGGTTACTTTGGCTACATCAGTTCATATTCCAAATGTGTATGCATCTAGAACAGGACTATTTTTTTCTCCTAAAATTGAATCCTAAATCTAAATTTGAATCCTTGGGCCATTGCTCTAAGCTAATTAATTGTCTGTAATTTACCCCCAAGTAGCCTTCTATGTATGACCAACAAGCAATCAGAGAAAAATGGTGGGGAAAATGCAGAACAACTTTACACAAAATGAAAAACAAGGCCAAGCCATAAGAGGAGAAGCTGACCTACCAGAAATAGAACCAGATACCCTGGAGGAGGAAGTAGAGGGACACTTAACCAGTTGCCTAACTGCAAAGCACCAGTAGTTGATGGAATTCCTACAGAGTTGTTGAGATCACTGACAACAAAAATACTGACAGCACTTTGCCAAAGTATATGAAAGTCTGGTCAGTGGCCAAAAGAATAGAAAAGGTCAGTATTTATCTCAATACCAAAGAAAGATTACATGAAAGACTGTTCCAATCACCAAACCATAGCCCTGATAACACACGTGAATAAAATTCTCTTGAAGATAATATCACGAACAGAAAACTGCCTGATGTACAAGCATGATTTCAGAAAGGACAAGGAACATATGATCACATTGCCAATCTACATGGAGAATGGAAAAAGGAAAGGAATACCAAAAAGACCCTACATGTGCTTCATTGACTACACAAAAGCTTTCAATTGTATTGACCATGAAAAGGTCTGGAACTGCCTCAAAGAACTGGAAATAACACCACACTATATCCAACTCATTCAGTCATTTTGATCTGACCAGGCAGCCACTGTAAAATGGAATATGGAGATACAAAATGGTTCAAAATTGAAAAGGCCCCAGCAAAGTTGCATCCTGTCACCTACACTATTTACATGTACACAGTTATGATAAAGGCATATTTGGAGGAATCTACCATTGGGGTTAAATTGGTGGTAGAAATATCAACAACTTCTGATATGCAGATAATACAACATTGCTCGCAGAAAGTAAGGAGGATCTGGAGTGGCTGGTCCTGAGAGTCAAAGATGTAAGTGAAAAATGTAGATGCACTTTAACCTGAAGAAAACATATATAATGACAACTGCAGAGAACAAACAGGTCAGGGTGCAGATCAACAAGGAGACCATTGAAACAGTGAAGGAATTCATTTTCCCAGACTCTAAAATTGACCAAAGTGGTGACTGTGGCCTTAAGATCAGAAGGTGTATAACACTTGGAAAAATTGCAATGTCTGCCATAAGATCTGGAATAGTAAAGATATCAGCCTCAAAAACAAATGCAGATTAGGTAACACAATAATTTTTTCCATTTGCTATTTATGGATGTGAAATCTGGACTCTGAAACAGGCAGAAAAGAGAA